GCAGAGGGAGAAGCAGGCTCCCAAGGAGCAGGGAGCCCGATGCGGGACTCGCTCCCAGGAATCCGGGACCATGACCTGAGCCTTAGGCAGACACTTAACCATCTGAGCCACCCAGGTGCCCCGTCCAGTGCCTTTTTTTAAACCTGAGATTGACATAGCCAAGCTTTTTAAAATTAATTAATTATTTTATTTTAATTTTTTTTAGCAAGAGAGAGTGCACGCACCCACAGGGAAGGTGAGGGGGGAGTGGGGGAGGGAGAGAGAGAATCTTAAGCCCCAAGGCAAGGGCTTGATCTCACAACCCTGAGATCATGACCTGAGCTGAAATCAAGAGTTGGACGCTTAACTAACTGAGCCACCCAGGCGCCCTTCTAAGCTTTGTTTAAGGAATGTGAATGTGGCCATTATGAATAGGTTATATTAAAAAAAGAACAATCTGGGGGCGCCTGGGTGGCTCAGTTGGTTAAGCGACTGCCTTCGGCTCAGGTCATGATCCTGGAGTCCCTGGATCGAGTCCCGCATCGAGCTCTCTGCTCGGCGGGGAGTCTGCTTCTCCCTCTGACCCTCCCCCCTCTCATGTGCTCTCTCTCTCTCATTCTGTCTCAAATGAATAAATAAAATCTTTAAAAAAAAAAAAGAACAATCTGAAGACAAGGAAGCAGAGTAGGAGACTTTTATACTAGTTTAGGTGAAGATAATGTTTATCTGAATTAAAAAATGGACATTTTATCCATGAACAGGGACTGACTTTTAATGTGTAGTTATGCAATATATAGTAAACCTTTAACATTTGAATCCTTAAACTATGTAATTTATCTTCCTTATTTTATTTTCTACTGAAGTGTAAAAGTTGAGCATAAACTGTTTACATTTTCAAATACATATTTTTGTGATAAAATTAAAAAACCTACCTCGCAGAAATATTTGTTATCAAACAGTTGTTCTCTTTGGTTATAGTAAGGCTCCATCTGAATAGTCTTATAGTTAGTTTGGCTATTATATTGCATAGGGACAGCAGAGCAAATAAACTGATACGAATCAACTCATATGACCTGGCAGCTCACACAAAATTCCTAAGCATAGAACAAGGGCAATTTTGCTGAACCATTCTGGAAACCTGGAGGTAAGAAAGAAAAAGAAATAGAAAATAAAAAAAGAACAGTCTCTGCCTCAGCAGTAAATGATGACAAGTACCCTACTATTTCTCTTCTGTCCCTTGGTTTATCTACCTGTGTGCTTACCCACCTATCTACCTATCCACTGGCTTAGACTCTGCCTTAAAAAAACAAAACAATCAAAAAACATTTAATATTTGAGATAATTAAATATTTTTTGATATGTAACCTAGACAAATAGGAAGATTATCTTAAAAGGATAGAAAAGAAAATAGAAAAATTAAACATTGAATATTACCTCTTCGTGGTCATCAAAATCAAGCTGTCTTCTTGTTGTGCATAGGGGTTGGAATGAGTATCCAAAAGTAAACACTGATTTTTTTTGGATAGCTTTGTAGAGGAATAATTTACATGCCATACAGTGCACTCATTTTAAGTGTAAATATCAATCATTTTAAATGCATTTACAGAGTTCTGCAATCATCACCACATTCCGGTTTTAGAACATTTTTCTATCACTCTTCTTCCCACCATCAGCCCCAGGCAGCCACTAGTCTGCTTTCTGTCTCTTTTCTGGACATTTTGTATAAACAGTATCATATAGTCTGTAGTTTTCTACATCCGTCTTCTTTCACTGACCATGTTTTTGTGGTTTATCCATATTATAATATGCATCGATACCTGTTTTTTTTCTTCTTGCTGAATTGTGTGCCATTATACACTGATTTATGTGCAAATCTCCTATCTCCCTCCAAGGCTTACCTTTCCTTTTTTTTCTTTTTCTTTTTTCTTTGCCAGTAGTAGTGCTATTTTTAGGGCTATTTTAACAATTCTACTTTGGGAACATCTTGTAACAATTTCTATGCTGCTCTCTTACTTTTATACCATTAGTAGCTTTATACAGATGGTTGATCTCTTGAGAATGACTTGGCAATTGTTAACTCCTCAAACCTTTCATATATATATATATATATGAAACACACACACATTATACAATAAGATGGCTTCCTGTAAAAAAAAAAAGACTATCACTCTTTTGACAGGGAATAAATTTAGCAATTTCTGTCTCTATGTTTCCTGGCATGCATTCAAAATGTTTGTGTTAGTCACCCATGAAATTCAGTCTATTCCTTTTACATGCTACTCCGGTATACTCTGTGATATTTTGGCTACAATTTTTGGTTATCAATCAAAATAATACTATATTTGGTTAATATGGGTAAAAAACTTAAAAAATGATATTTTCCTGAGGAAAAAAAGATTGCACAATATAAGATCCAGCTTACTGCATGCCTTTTGAAATGTGCTTTCAAAAGAATAATGAGAAATAATGTGCCCAATTTGAAAGTTTTAATTTTAATGCACATTTGTTTCTTTAGCATTTGTGGAATCCAACATCTGGAACGAATAGGGAAGAAGCTGAATCTCTTTGACTCCCTTTACTTCTGCATTGTGACATTTTCCACTGTGGGCTTTGGGGATGTCACCCCTGAGACATGGTCCTCCAAGCTTTTTGTCGTTGCCATGATCTGTGTTGCTCTTGTGGTTCTACCCATACAGGTAAACAGAGCCAGGGTAAATTTTATAGAAATGTGCAAATCTTATAAAATCAACTCTTTCATGCTTAGTAAGAAATGCAGGGTGGTTTATTAATGTAATATATTGACACATGTTATTATTGTATCTAGTCAATGAATTAAAATGGTCTCAGGAAACGCTTTTTCATATTATATTAGAAACTGACTTTTTTCCCCTCCGTTCACAACTGAAATAACTCACATCTCATTTCAATTCTTGAAGACGTTTCTTTGAAATATAAGGTATTTAATTATATTAATTATAAGATCATAGGACAATATAGTTTTAATTACAGAATGATAGATCAAAGAAATAAACTTATGAAGGTTTGATTTCTTTTGGTTCTTGAAACAATATAAAAGCTAAATATTGCAATAAATAAAAACTGATCACGTATGTTGGTCAACTAAAACAAAATCTGAAGATGATATGTAACTAATATACAACATTCTGGGAGTGGATAAGGTGGTTGCAAAGGGACAGAGATATAAAAGGAGACTAAAGATAAGCAGATGCAATCTCCAACTCTTTCCTACAGTGAGCTCTTAGGTGCTCATGGGTGAGCAGGTCAGAAACAGGATATGGCAAATACAAGTCAAACTTGTATCTTCCATTACAAACCTCTGGCCACAGTATATCTAAATATCTTTTATGTAGGTATGAAAATGATCTTCCCACTTTTATCCAATCATGCATGTGTTCCTTCCTGACATCCCTCCACTTCCCTTACATACCAACTACAGCTGTACAACTAGAATGTGACCTTGTGTGTTGGGTATCTCTCATTGCATGAGATGGGTGCTGAACTTGGTTGAAGAATATCTCTCATTGCATGAGATGGGTGCTGAACTTGGTTGAAGAAGGTAGAAGAAAGGCCTTTGATGTTTTTCTCTTTACGCAGTGCATGACACATCATGGCTGCCTGCTTTACTGGACATAAAACAGAGGCACAAACCTTTTAGTGCTGTTATGATATAATAGGAAAATCATATTAATATGTTTCTGTAGAGACCTGAGGCCCCTGGGAAGCACTAGCAACTTGTACAGCAATCACATGAAAAGTCTGTTGTTGAAGGGAATACGGATAATTTGAATCTCAGTGAGTTCCATCTAAGAAATTGAGTGTATCTAATAAACAATGGATGTATTGCATTGATTTTTATTTTCATGTCTAAAGTTTTTTATTCATTTGTGGAAAATGCATTGCAGTTTGAACAGCTGGCCTATTTGTGGATGGAGAGACAAAAGTCAGGTGGAAACTATAGTCGACATAGAGCTCAAACTGAGAAGCATGTTGTTCTGTGTGTCAGTTCACTGAAGATTGATTTACTTATGGACTTTTTAAATGAATTCTATGCTCACCCAAGACTTCAGGTACATTAAAATTATGTTATGCCTTTGCTGGATCATAACTAACTAACATATTGTCCAAGTCAATTAACTGATGGTGCAGCCTGCATTCTGGAGGATTTTTATTTATACACTCAAATTTAGAAAGAGTAAATGAAGAACTGCAAATATAACCAGGAACATAGAAAAAAATGCTTAAGGAATACACAGTATTTTAAGTTTCCTTCTGTATCTACACTAAAAGACAGATGGAATTATGTTAATGCTACAAAGAAAGGTTTTCTTTGAATTAAATGGATTTTTTTTTTCTCCCTTGGGTAATGCACAAATGACATTTTTATGAAACAGTGGAATTTAACATAAGATATCAAACAATGAAAAAGTCATTTCACAATATCATCTACTCACTTGAAATTATCAAAAGTTTTATCAAGTGTTGCTGATAGAAATGTGAAAGTCTGAAAGTTCCATTTTTCCTTTTGTTTCCCAGAGTGTACCTAGGTCTTATTTATCCTAGCAATGAGTGACCCCAAACTGGACAACAACTAGCTGAATTGAGAACAATAATTCAGAAAAAAAAATCTTTTCATCTGTCTATGCAGATAAAATCCTCAGATACTTATTTTTTTTTTTAAAGATTTTATTTATTTATTTTAGAGACAGAGCACAAGAGCAGGGAGAGCGGGAGAGGGAGAAGCAGACTCCCTGCTGAGCAGGGAGCCCGATGCGGGACTCGATCCTGGGACTCCAGGATCATGACCTGAGCCGAAGGCAGTCGCTTAACCAACTGAGCCACCCAGGCGCCCCAAAATCCTCAGATACTTATGCCACTTGCTCTGTGGTACTGGGCCAGTGTATATTTAGATAATCTCCTTTTCCTGCTCAATGCACTTTCAGTCCAAATAGTAAGGAGCTACTTGAATGTCTTGTATTTCCTCAATAAATTTGTGTCAAGAGGTTGGACAGTCCTGAGATCAAAACAGTACTGAGTTATCTAATTAGATCTCCCTTAAATAGATCTTTTTTTTTCATGACTATATTGGAGATCTTTTAAAATACTATTTAAAAAATATTTAAAAAAAATATAATTTATAAATGATACTTAAATTACACCATACATGCTTTTGTTTTCATATAAATTAATTTGCATTTTTGAAGAAACATCATATTTATTTGTTGTTTTTATTATTATTCATATTAAGTAATTGTGGTTTTGCTCATTATCATCCATAAAGAAAACCTATTTTTGGGAAAATTTGATGCCCCAGGTTTTGATACCTAGTAATTTATTTTGTCTGATATCAATGTGGCAAATTCTCAAAACTCCCCAAATTTCCACTAGATACATTTTAGATGATAAAATAGTGAATGTTGCCCAAATAATTGTAATTCCTATAATCAGTGTATTAAACTATCTTATCACTCAGAGTACTTTTGTATTTTTTCAAAAGGGTCATAATTTTGAAATATGTGATCTCAAAGTTTTAAATTTACTTTGTATTATCAATATTTTTATGAATCCTTATCCTTTCAGATATTCATCAGAGATTTTTCAGTATTATCAGTTCATAATATTTCCAAATGATATAAATCACCATCAGAATTCAAGTAAAAACTTGAAGTATGAATTGATTTTTAAGCACTTCTGTCCTGTATGTATTACATATTTTAGAATCAACCTGAAGTTATAACAGAAAACTTCATAGGTTGGAAATGTCTACTGAGTATACACTGATTACCTTCTCTTCATGGTACTAATAAGATTGAAAAAGGTCAGGATGACCTTATGTTGCTTTATGAGATTTTTATATGTCTCAGTTATGTTTATTATAGTATCATGTTAATGTATGTCCAGGTTTTAAACACAAATTTTTACTTACTAGCAGGAGTTTATTTCTATATCATATTTCTAAATGTTCTTAGACATTCTGTTTACTTATGTAACATAAAACACAGCATTATTGATTTTGCCCCATTGCTCACCTTGTTTTGAATAGGATTATTATGTGGTGATTTTGTGTCCTACTGAAATGGATGTGCAAGTTCGAAGGGTACTGCAGATTCCAATGTGGTCACAAAGAGTAATCTACCTTCAAGGCTCAGCCCTTAAAGATCAGGATCTGTTGAGAGCAAAGTAGGTATCCCTATCTATTTTCCATCTTGCAATACTTTAATATCTCTTCTCTCCTCCAAATTTTAGCAATTTTCAGTCTTGCAAGATGTGTTTAAATATTTTTGAATACAGAATCTTGCCATAGTCCCTCTGCTGGTCAAATTGAAAGGTTAAAAATATAAAATCAGTGTATTTGCTCCCTTCTTCAGTGCAAGGATGTTCAGCAGACCGTGTCCACACAACACAATGAGGAGCGTGGCATGGTGTGATTATCTCAAGCTGTCAGGCAAGAGCTGAGTTATCCAGACTCACTGTTAGAGTAGTCTCCAAATCCCTGAATACTGTTTTTATTCCACAAATAAAAATTTGGGGCTAACCATTCTATGAAATGCCAAAGCAGTTTGAGTCAGGGTTTAAATTCTAGAGTTTGTTTTATGTACCGGGCAGATGACACTTGTGATGTCCCTGGGGCTGGAGGAAGGTAACTGGGTCTTAGTTGCTCTTTTCCTGTAGCACATGTGCTAGTCAACCTGGCTTAAAGGTGACATAGGCACACACCTTTGTCACAGGTCATGGGATCGTTCCATATGAACAGACTGAAAACATGGTTGGGCCGACCACGGACACCAGGGAGTCAGGGCCTCTGCAAACAACACCCGTCGTTTCAGAAGCCAGTAGAAACCTTCAGCAGGGGTGGTTTTGCTCCATGTTTTCTGTTGCTTTTAAAGTTTTAAACATGTCTTTGTTGGGGAGGAAGAATATCCTATCCCCTTCTAGGTCCTTCTAGCTGGACTAAGAATCAAATTGACATGAGACAGATTAACAGGAGAAAATCAAATTTAATAGTGTACGTACAGGGAATCCATACAGACATGGAACTTCCAAAGACAGGAAAATATGTCACTCTGAGCTAAGGAGAAGGGGTAGAGGTCTGGGACTACCAGGGGAAGGAAAGCAAGTTACAGGGAGATGAACAAGAGTGCTGTGTATTGTGTAAGACTGATGAATCACAGACCTGTGCCCCTGAAACAAATGATACATTATATATTAATAATAAAAAAAAAAGAGTAAATGTTTGGTAAACAAATGTTTGCTGGGCCACTCAGAAACAATGGGACATGGAGGACTTGAATCAAACAGGCTTTGCTAGGTTCTTCCTTGCCTGCCCTCCCTAGTTTGTATCATAATGTATTTATCTATGGTGATAGCTCCCTTCCTGGAGCAGATTTTCTGTCTAAATTCTTTTCAGGCAGTTGAGGAGGGAGATAAAGAGCTTTCCTGAATCTGCTGGGTTTTGATTGCTTTTTAGCTCAAAGTAATCTTCATGCAAACGTGGCCCATCTTGGAGTGGCCTTGGATCCTACCTCTCCATATTTGTCCCTGAGTTGTCTTATGTGCTCTTAAATATAAGTCTCCTCACTCAATTTGAGAGCATAAGTGTTTTTTATTTTGTTGCTTTATTTTTTCTGGATGGCTTGAGTATGTGTGTTAATGGAGGTGGGTATGTTTATGCATGTTGTGTGTGTGTGTGTGTATGTGGATAGTGGAAAAGAACAGAAGAAAACTCCCAAAATCCTTTTTGCTGCTTAATTCTGCAAAGTGATGACTAGATATTTTGTAACCGGAACTTTGACATTATCTTTGATTTATATACAGTAAGGCAATTTAAGTGAGATTTTTCAATGATTTAATAACTTCTGAAACAAAAAAGTTAGTAGAAACCATCAGGATATAATGAATGGTACCTAATTAGGAAATTTAGCTTCTTTGAGAACATATTAGTATTTCCGGTGGATTAAATACTTCATAGATATTGTCAGTGTACACACAAGAGTTAAGTCAGATTCTCCTAGTACCTCAAGCAATAGATGGCTTTAGGTGTTTGCTATTTGCTATCTATATACATTTTTTGGGAGCTCTAAAGAAATAGTTGCTTAGACACTAACATAATTTGGATCTTTATATTCATCTGTATAGATAATCAATATGCTTAATTACTGTATGCATTAAGTTCTTCACATAAGAATAATTCCCATATTATGTTCACTATGAATTTATGCGATAATTGAAGGCTTTTTATTACCTAATAAATTAATCTAAGCTATTAGTATTAGCTGTTAGTATTTTAGCTTGATACTATAGAAGGGAGCCGAATTTGCTACCCCAAAATATGTCTCAGTGGTGTAAGGATTATTGTGAGCTGGTTATTTTTAAGAAACAGCAGACACAGGAAAAACTGAAAACCTAGTAGAAGTTAACCCTTTTGTAAGGGACATTTCCATTTATAAGGGAAATCTCCATCCATAAGGGTGTCTCTCTCTCTCTCTGTACTTGGAAGAGGATGACTCAATCTCTGCAAACTCTTGTGAATGGAGAAAGCAAGGACCTAAATCTGTATAACAACCTACGCTGGTTTACTGTGCTTTTCTTGATAGGTTCCCATAACTGGCTCACCGTAAGCCAAACATCTTGGTCTTTAGCTGAAAATGGTGTTTAAGGTGGTGGCTTCATGGGAGAGGAGTTAATCAGTTTTCCAGGGTGTCTCCCACGTATACAGGAGGTATACGTGTTATTAAACTTCTGTTTGCTTTTCTTCTGTTAATCTGTCTTTTTATTACAGAGGAGTCTCAGCCAAGGACCTAGATGGGTAGAGGGAAAATGATTTATCTTTTTACTCATGATTTATTTAGGATTAACAATTCATTTATTATTAATATTATTAAAATGATTTCTCAGCAAAGTCAATCACATTTACAAGAAGCATTCATTCATTGGAATATACCAAGGATGAGAATGAGGATGAGAGAGGTAGCAGGCTGGTAATACTAAAAAATCTGGGTTAAGAAAGAGGTATTCATTTTATGTTCATTTCTTATCCTAATGTCATATAAAGATTTGGGATTTAATGTTAACTAATACATTCTTCAACACAATTTCCCATGCAAGAAACAAGGAGTAGGATTCTCCAAACCAGTTCCAAAGGTCAGTTGCATGAATTTTGAATTGCTTTGTTGAAGATGATGTTTAGAAAATGTTATGCAATACTAATTATCTTATAACCATGACTCAATATTTTTCCAAAACTGTTTGGTTTGATCTAATTTCCTGGACTTTTATCTTTCCTCTGCATAGAAAAAAAATTTGGGGGGGTGGAGGTTTATTTTATCATAATGAATCAGAAAGATAAAACATTCCTTATTTTGAAATTAACATTTTTATGTTTTTATTTTTTTTTAAAGATTTTTTATTTTTAAGTAATCTCTACACCCAATGGGGAGGTTGAATTTACAATCCCGAGATCAATAGTCGCATGTTCTACCGACTGAGCCAACCAGGCACCCCAACATATTTATGTTTTTAGAACATTATTTATCAAGCACTGAAACCTACTGTTTATCACCAAATTTAAGAAATGTAGAACTTTAGTATAAAGGACAAGGGTTGGGAACAAGATGATGAATCATCTCCAAGAAATGTAAATGTACAGTAGAGTTTGATATAAGAATACTAAGTAGCTCTTCCTTCTCTCTTAGTTAATTGAGTAACTTTGCAGTTAAAATGTAACTAATCATAAAGTAAAGGCCAATACAACTCCCTTAGTTTATACATGAAAAAATATATAATCATAAAAGAGAATAAAATTTGAGTGTTTTTTTAATTTTTGTCATTATGAACTGTTGAGTTATATAGTCAATTCAACAACCATTGCTTTGTTTATAATCAAGTACAGTCATGATCTGCTAGAAATCTAACTATCGTTTAAACCTAAGGATACTCATAGTTTATTTGCACTTTGTGTACATTGGACTAAGCATTGGAATTCTATTTTTCAGACACTACAAAGATATTTCAGTGTATGATTATTATTATTATTTTTTTGTCTGTATTTAGGATGGATGATGCTGAGGCCTGTTTTATTCTGAGCAGCCGTTGTGAAGTGGATAGGACATCATCTGTAAGTTTCTAAAAGTCTCTTTCATAATTGTTCTTATTCCCTTAGAAGATTTTTTAAAAATTTTTAAAAAAATCTGCCTATGTTAAATATAGGTAACTTTAAAATATTGCTAAAGGGAAGCAAATATCTCTAAACTGTCTTTGCTGTAATATAAGAAGAGCAGCATTATGGACTGTGTCAACAAAACTGTTTTTTGAAGTAGTTTCTACTAGTCCTTGGGTTTTCTGTTGATCAAAATGAAATAGGTCATATATTTTTATTAAATATGTCCTTTCCTATGTAATTTCATTAAAATGGTCTCCATTTCCTCAACTCAAAACAAAGCAGATGGATCAGGCAGTCTGCATTAGAATCAGTTGGAGAGCTTCTAAAAAAGTATGCATTCATGAAAATTTTATTCAGTGTATATGAAGTGGGGATCTAGAATCTGTGTATTTTTAAAAGATCCCCACGTGATTGGGAAGCACACCTCAACTTGACACCTTTTGGCTTATATGATCTCTGTGATTTTTTTTGGCAAAAAGTTGTATAAACTCATAATTAAATTAAATTAATTAAATTAAATATAATTTACCAAATTATAACTTGTGTTTTTAAACATGCATTCTAATTTTATTGTTTTTAAAAAGTACTTTATTATTTTATATTGAGCAGGTACTATTAACTCCTGTGTTTCTAAGCCGATGAGTTTATCTTTAGTCATATCTGTGGTACAGAGATAAAGCCTTGATGGCTTCTGTAGTGACTGAGGAAAGGCAATCTATGCATGGGTCTTTCAGGGACATCATTTGGTTTTTTTCTGGAGCATTTAATAGGACACTCTGTTACATTAAATTAGACTGTGAGTCCTGAATGTGGCAGGCTCTATGTTCTCCTGTTGACCTCACTCTAATTTACCTAAGTTCTTATTCAGTTCTAAACTAATTTTCTCATCCTTTATTTGAAGAGGGTTGTTAGGGCTTGTATTGTGTTCCCTAAAACTCATATATTGAAGCCCAATCCTCCAGTACCTCATAATGTGAACTTATTTGGAGATAAAGTCTTAATAAAGACAATCAAGTTATAATGTGCTCATTAGGGTGGACCTTCATCCAATATGATTGGTGTCCTTGTAAAAAGAGGAAATTTGGAGACTGTCAGTTATCAGGGAGAATGCCATATGAACATGAAGACAGCCATCAATAAGCCAAGGGGAGTGGCCTGAAACAGATCCTTCCCTCCTTGCCCTCAGAAGGAATCAACCCTGCCAGCACTTTGATTTTGGATTTCTGGTCTCCAGGACTGGGAAATAATAAATTTCAGTTATTTAAGCCACCAGTTTGTTCCACTTTGTTACTGTAGGCTACCAAACTAATATAAGAGCATAGAGCAAATATAATTTGGAAAAATTTGTGAAATATCTCTCTTTATATATTTCTAAAAATTCATCTGTTCCCCTTCTTCTCCATGGTTGCTATCTTAATTCAGACCACACCCTCCTCAGTTCACTTAAGTACTATTTCAGGAGTTTCTTAATTGGTTTGGCACATCAGGTGCTCCAAAGGTATTTATGGAATAAATGAATTTGAACTGATCATAATCTACTGTCTGTTTCCATAATTATTTAACTTATGTAATTGTGAATCTTGTGCCCCTTAAGCAGTAACTTGGTTTTAAAGTACTTGCAGTCCTCCAGTATCAATAATGTTTTGAGTAACAAGGAGAAGCATAAACATTAATAAATAAATATATAATATCTTTTAGAGTACCCTTTAAACTGTGAATTTGAGATCACTCAGTTAAACAAATGTGTTCCATTTCTTTCTGACACTCTGCTAAATTGACAGGAAATGAATAAAAAATTTCACTCATTAGGACAAAGGAGATGGTAGATGAGACAGCACTAACACAAGTTTGGAAGCTAGAAAGCAGATGGATGAGTGGTAACCGACTTAGACAGAAGGAAGTTAAAATTTAAGTTGAGAGAGGAAACAAGTCAGGCTGCTTTTTACAATGTACCCTCAAAAGTCTCAAGAAATAGAGGCACCAGATGCTTCTGTAAGTAGGGTTATATGTGGGACTAAACATATGAATAGTGATTAAAAGTTTGTAAAAGAAGCAATTAGATTCCCTGAATCTCTCCAGAAATCCATTGCTGATCCCTTTCCCCACCCTGGGAACAGGTTTACTGTTGGCATAATTTGATCCAGGGATATCCTTCACTCAGAACCAGTAGGTGCAGCAGAGAGTTGGGGTAAAGTCAAAGATATTAAAGAGTAAGTTGCTTCACTGAATGTGACGTGCTTCTTCCAAATGACTCAGAAACTTAATAGCTAGGTCCACATCTCCACTGGCACAATATTAGAGGAATTTTCTCTGGGGAAATGGTACATCACAAGAGAGAATGTGTGTAAATATGTAAAGTCTGAAGTTCCCTAGTGCAGTATCACAGATTAATCACCCTACAGTAAGGTCTGTGTGAAAATAAGATTCCCACATTCAGTGAAGTCCCAAATAGCTTTTGAGTGTTTAATTTCTACATATGTTCAGATAACAGACATCACTAAACATTTAAGTAAATTCCTGACGAGGAAAAGAAAGAATGGATGAACAAACATAAAAAGTGTATAGAAAAGAGGAACTCAGAGGAAACAAACAAAACTACACAATTCTGGGAGAAGAAATAGATTTTAAATTATATAACAAATATCCTCAGAATAATATGAAAAGTTGAGGAGAGTGTACATATATATAAAACAAGAATAGTAGGCTGTAGAACAAAAAAAAATTGAAGTCAAAACAAGAAACACTTAATGAACCAAAAATAGTTCCTGAAAATTAAAAATAGGGTAACACATGAAAAATTGTATAAAAGATTTAGGAGGAAAGCAAGAGAGGTGAGGAAACAGGGCAAAGTATTATGCCCAAGATTGGAGAGACTGACACACAAATATGGAGAATAGTGATTTACCCCAGCAAAGACTCATGAGTGGAAATCAACCTGGGAATCAGTGTGGGGGCAGGAAAACCTGAACTGTAATTGATGAATTGCTGGAGGTTCAGTGCAGACAACTTTGAGAGTTAAAAAAACCCCTGGGAAATGTAGTCCTGGGGAAAGGATACCATAATTTTGTGAGATTTACTTCCAGGAGTTTGACCAGGTTCTCACAATAAATATGAGAGAAAAATCCGTTTGGGATTTCAGCAAGGGTCAGGAAAAAGGAACCATTTTGAATTACACCAGAGAATTCTCTTCCTCTTAACAGACCTTTCCCTCAGGGAAACTAGTTAACCAGAGCTTAACCTGCTGGAAACCTAGTTATCAGAGCCTAACTGATCTGGGACAAGGGTAATACCCAATTCCAGACCACTCTAGCCATCCTTTCTCAATTAAGGGGGCAGGACACTGAAAAAACATTTGTGAAGGTCACAGTCCAGAGGTGTTGGCTCACTAAAAGACTGACACCAAATCATGGGACTATAGAATGCTTCCCCAAACCCCCAGCTTACTTGCACGTGTCTAAAGATCTATTTATAGCAGTTCCTTTAACTTTGTATATTATGACTGGCTATCAAGAAAAAATTACAAAGCATACCGAAAGTCAAAAAAATGCAATTTGTAGAGACAGAACAAGTATCAGAACAGACATGGCAGGGATGTTGAACTTACCAGACCAATCATTTAAAATAGCTGATTAATATGCTAAGGGCTCTCATGGATAAAATAGACAGCATGCAAGAACAGATGGGTAGTGTAAGCAGAGAGAAACCTTAAGAAAGAACCAAAAGGTAATATTAGAGACAAAAAAAAATTATAACAGAAATGAAGACTGTCTCTGATGGCCTCATTAGTAGACTGGACATGGCTAAGGAAATAAGCTTTGAACTTGAGGATAAATCAACAGAAATCTCCAAAACTAAAAAGTGAAGAGAACAAAGACTGAAAAACAACAACCACCACAAAAACCCAAACTCAGACGGAATATCCAAGGACTCTGGGACAACTGCAAAAGGTGTAACATACGTGTAATGGAAATATCTGAAGGAGAAGAAAGAAAGGAATAGAAGAAATACTGGAAAGCATAATAACTGAGGATTTCCCCAAATTGATACCAGACACCAAGCCACAGATCCAGGAAGCTCAGAGAACACCCAGAAGAAGAGATGTCAAAAAAAAAAAAAAAAATACACCTAGATGTATCATTTTCAAATTACAGAAAATCAAAGATGAACTCCTGAAAGAAGCCAAGGAGTGGGGGGAACACCCTAACTACAATGGAGCAAAGATAAGAATTTCATCTGACTTATCTTCAGAAACCATGCAAGGAAGAAGAGAATGTAGTAAAACATTTAAAGTGTTGGGAAATAATACAGAAGAGAAGTCAGTGTCAGAGTTTAGGGTACCTTGAACAGAGGGACAAGCAGAAGGGCCTGGGTCCTAGTAACTGAGTGTAGTTTTAGGTCTTGACAGATGGCAAGAAGAAAAACCAATATCCATGAGTGGCACTAAGTATATGTTATTTCTGCTCCTTTGGCAAAGCCTGGAGAGTCTCTCAACTGTTTTGTGTTTGTGTGTACAGGGTCTTACAGAAGTGTTCATAGTCCTTAGAGAAACAGACTTTCAGGACTTGATTACAAAAATGGATGGCAGACTATTTCTAGTGTGCTCAAATCTGGACACACCAGTAGGCTACCATTCATCTCTTTTTTAAATGATTTTTACATATGTGGGCATGATGATCCAATTAAAGATTTATCAGAAAAAAATATAGGAACCCAGAAAAATGTTGTACTATGCTAAATAGCTATGTGTTAGTATTGAAGACACCATATTGCTTGATAATGAACATACTCCCATATTAGCTATTGTCTTAGGACAGGCCTGGCATAGTCGCTGCTGCAAACAATTCTACATTGTTTCCTACAGAGAAGTTGGTTCACAACTTCTACTCCACCTATGTTTGGTTTAAATCCTATCAGGAGAGTTGAAACTCTGCTCTTTGATTCCCCAAAGGTTAATA